ATGTGTGTTGCTCTTTGACATAGAGCGCCACACCCCCACCCTTCCTCCCTGTTCTGTCCCACCTATACAGCCTATAGCCCTTGATGTTTACCGCCCAGTCATGCATTGGATCCCACCAAGTTTCCGTGAGCCCCACTATGTCTGGGTTTGTGTTAGCTAGCAGGAGGGCGAGTTCCTCCTGCTTGTTCCCCATACTGCAAGCATTAGTGTAGAGGCATTTAAGGCCTCCTGAGGCTGTATGTGCCTCCCCCCCAATCCCTGGACTGTCCGGGCCTCTGTCTCTTACCTGGGTATTTCTTGTGCTCGTCGCCTGACTTGGCTGGGCTGTTCTTGTGGGTGTCTCTTGGTTTGGTGTTCTGTGGCTCCCTTGGTCCTCTTCCTCCCCCTCCCCTGACATGCCTAGTTTAAATCCTGCTGGAGGAGATCAGCCAACCTGGAAGAGAACACATGCTTACCTTTGGGGGAGAGGAGAAGCCCATCCCACCCGAGTGTCTCTCGTTCTGAAGTGAGGGTCGTGGTCCAGAAAGATGAAGCCCGCCGCGAGACACCATTCCTGAAGCCACAAGTTGACATCCCAGATGCAGGTCTCATGGCATCTTCCACGCCCGCTCACTGGAAGGATCGATGAGAAGACCACCTGTGCCCCTATTTCCTTCAGCTTGTCTCCCAGCGCTTGGTAGTCCTTCATCAGGTGGTCTGGACTGCTCCTGGCTGCATCATTAGTGCCCGCATGGATTAGGACCATGGGGTAGTAATTAGGACCATAGGGTAGTACCATCCTGCACCAAGCCATGGCTTCCTGCTTCCTTCACACAAGCAAGTAGACCCAGAAGCTACAGCAGGTCCTGCTGACCAACCCTGGGTGACTCACCATAGGATACAGTACATCATACATGGCCTGCCAAACCTGATATAGCAGCAGAAGGCCCTGGAATGAGCCTTCATGCCAGCACACACTGAGCCATCTGTCCTGCCTCTACACCCATGCCCTCCAAGCATCCATGACTTTGCCTCCAGAGTCCTCGTGGACAACAACATTGAGGGTATCTTTGATGCCATAAATGCTGGGTGCTCTGGGACCACCTCCACACCATGGAGTGCAGGGTCTGGGCACACCCCACTAGCACCAACTGGTGGGAACAGATCGTCCTTGGCACTTGGGATGATAAACTGTGGCTACAGACCTTCCACATGGGACAGGACACCTTCATGGACATCATCACCCAGGTGGCCCCACACATTGCACACCAGGGTGGGCCCCCTCAGTCTGGAGAAGTGGGTATTCATTGCTGTCTTGAAGCTAACATGGCAGTCTCCGCTACATTGCCAACCAGTTCAGTGTGGTTGTCCACAGCTGGAGAGACTGTCTTGGAGATTTGCCTGGTCATTCAGGACATCATGGCAAACTGCTTTGTCTGCCTCATCAACCAGCAGGAGGTGATAGCTGGCTTCCAACATACGGGCTTCCCCAACTGCATATGGGCTGTGAATGGTACCCACATCCTAATTGTCTGCCCACTCCAGGGTGGCTGGGCATTCATCACCTGCAAGGGCTACTATTTGGTCATCCTGCAGGGTGTCTGGTGTGGGACCTAGATAGCCTTTTGGCAGAAAGGGTGGTGATTTTTGGTTATTGTTCCTCCATTACTCAATTGGGTTTAGAGGAATGGATCCAATGGACTCAAGCCTGCTCCTGGGGGCTTGAAGAAATAGGGAAGGTGGACATACAGGATAAAAAAAAAGCACTACAAGCAGAAACCTTCATAGATGATGGTCTGTGCCCCCCAGGTAAGGATGTACTGTATCCTATTACACAAGGATAGTAATATGATGTATGAAGCATCAACCACTCAGAAGGATATAAACTTCACAGTAGTACCATGGAACATGGGCAGAGGTGCAGTGATTTGTGACGCACTAGAAAGAAAGATAACCCCTATATATATATATATATATATATGGGGTTATATACACACACAAAGTACTACAAAATACTGATTGGAAAAATGAAGAGAGACAAGGTTCTTTGGGTAAATGTGATATCTTTTATTAGACCAACTAAATAGTTGGAAAAATTGTTCACAAGCTGCCAAGCACAAACACGCTTCTTCATGCATATAAAGTCTGAAGAAGGGTGTTTGTGCCTGAAAGCTTGCAAGGGACAATTTTTCCAACCATTTAGTTGGTCTAATAAAAGATATCACATTTACCCAAAGAACCTGTCTGCCTATGTCCTTAGACCAACACAGCTACAACCAATAACCCTAAAGCATGGAAAAATGAATACGTTTATGGATGGGTAGAGTTTAACTGATCAAGGTAACTGCAGGCAAAGAAATGGAAATGAGTTTATTCTCAAAGTTTTGCAGGGAAAAGAATCCTGGAAATGAAAAGAGTTAATAGCTGATGAAACTCGTTATGGGAAGAAGACCTTATATGTGAAAGCAAGTAATTTAGATAAGCCATGTACAGAAAAAGCTGACTTCACAACAGCTGTAGACGCCTTTCCATCCAGGAGGATGATCTGCAAAGGAATGGATATGAATGGACAGGTTTCAAAAAGAGGGGAGGGTGTATGACACAGTCCTTTGGATTTACAGACACAGACAGAAGAAGAATGGGGGAGATTTCTTCAACACAAAAAAATAAAAGGCGGGGAAAAAAAAGAAATAGGTTGGCACTGGCCAAGTTGCCCAGGAAAAAAAGTGAATTTTGAATCACCGGAACAAATGGTCTTTCAACCCAACCAACTTCAACAAGTTACAATTTTTATGTGATAGGGCCCCTGGAAGTGCTATAGAGACGTGACATAACACACATTGAAAGCTACAGAGCATTTTAAAATGGTGGATCATGCGAAATACAAACCCTCATCAGAGCTCTATTATCTGAGGACACTCAAGAGCAGAGCACCTTAGGGAACGTCTGTTCAGATTCCCTGTGAGGGTAACGTGCAGGTGAGTCCGCCCGCATCCCATGTGCCTTTGTGGGGCTGAGCTGGTGCCTCCCCATGCGAGCACCAGCCTGACTCTGACCCTTGGTCAGTCGCAGGCAGGAGGCAGCGTCTCCTCCCTGCCTCCTCCCTGTGCAGGGGGCAGAGGGGAGAGGTTGGGGGAAAGTACCCCTCTCAACCTGTTCGCAATGGAAGCTGAAGGGGGAGCCCCCACAGGCCTGAACAGGGCTTGGATCCTTCCTCTGCCTAAGCTCCCGGCATGACTGTTTTGACAGCAGCCTCAGCAGGGGTGCCCCCTCCACCATGGATCACATTTTTCCTGGCTGCTTGCCCCCTGTGCCTGGTGGGTTGCTCCCCCACCTGGAGACAGCAGCCACCCCTGCCTGGAGATTTCCCCCATGTGGTGAGGGGCTCTTTCCAGGGGTGAGCACCTACCCGGTGATGCCAGCAGGCACAGAGCCAATCTCCCTGCAGGGTTATGCTGCAGAGGGGAAGTCTCTTTTCCTGGAATGACCTTCTCCCTAGCATGGATCATAACAGCCAGGGCCAGCATGTGCACAAGCCCCCACTTCTTCATAGTCTGCTCGCTGTGTCCCGATCATCCCGCACCATACCATGTCTGGCTTCCCGTGCCCAAGCAGGGAGCCCCAGGTGCTGTGGCAGGTCCTGCTGATTGCCCTGTGTGCCTCTCACTGGAGGATGCAGGACATCATGCCCACCCAGCTGAACCTGATGCAGCAGTGGGTGGCTGTGGCATGCGCCCTCATACCAACAAGCATGAAGCCATCAGTCCGGCCTGTGTACGCCCCCATCCCCACCTCCCAAGCATCCTCAGCTGCACCTCTGGCTACCTACTGACTGATGAAGTTATCTGGATGCCATGAATACCAGTGCGCTCCAGAACTGCCTTCAAACTGTCAAGCATAGGATCTGGACCCACCTCACTAGCACTGGCTGGTGGAAGTGGATTGTCCTTGGCATCTAGGATGATAAACTGTGGCTTCAGACCTTTTGTATGTGCTGGGACATCTTCATGGACATCATTACCCAGGCAGCACCTCACATCACACACCAGGATATCATCATACAGCCAACACAGTCCAGAGAAGTGGATGGCCATTGCTGTCTTGAAGCTGGCCACCCCCGGCAGTCTCCACTACATTGCCAACCACTTCAGTGTGGTCAGGTCCAGGGCTGGAGAGGCTGATCAGGTTTTCCTGGTCATCCAAGATCTCCTGACAAAGCGCTTCATCTGCCTCATCAACCCACAGGAGGTGGTTGCTGGCTTCCCAAGTGTGGGTGGACAGCACCCACATCCCAATCATCTGTCCATCGCAGGGTGGCTAAATCTTGGTTATCCTACAGGGCGTCATCGACCATCAGGGCCACTTCACCCACATCTTTGCTGGCTGGGCAGGCAGTACCCACAATACACGTCTTCTGAATTCTCCACTCCCCATCCTGATGGAGAGCAAGTGCTACACCCCTGCTTCCCAATTGTCATTGTCATCCCCTCCCCACCCCCCCACCCCCAAATCCATGATCCAGGGTTACCCCTTCCTGCCCTGGCTGATGAAGCCCTATGGAGCGGGGCAGCTGGACCACCAGAAGTACTTCAACTACTACTATAGCAGTTGAGTGTGCCTTTGGCTGCCTCCGGGTGCATTGGCAGGCTCAGTGCATGTCTCAAGATGGACAAGGAGAACCTGCCGTGACTCATCATTGCTGTGCGTGTCCTCCACATCTGTGAGACCAGAGGGGAGGTATTCCTGGAATCCTGGGCAAAGGAGGCATGGCATGCGGACCAGGTATGTCAGCATGAGCACATGCTGAGGGCGAGCTCTCCACCACTGTCAGGGGGCCCTGGCACTACACAATGGCAGGCTGGCCATACCCACCAATCCCTAGCCATCTCAGCACTCTTGTGGACTGGGTGGCCAATTAGGGGCAGTGTGCTCCATGGGCCAATACCTTGGCAAGGGGCCGTGCTTCTCCAGCCCCTGAGCCACAGGCTTCATATGAATGCAGTGTGATGAAGACACAAACCTTGTTTTATACTGTTGTATTTGCAAAATTAGTAAGAAAACCTGCAGAACGCTTGCCCTCCCTCTTCCCAATTCACACTAACTGGGGAATCTTTGAAGGGTGTGTGGGGGGTGGGATGCAGTGGGGAAAGAATGACCATGGCATGACAGGTTAGGACAGGGATGGGGGATAGTTGGAGATGGGTGGGGGTCTCTAGTAGAGGGTCAGAACTGAGGGAAGAGAAAACCATGGCCCTTGAGTCATGAAATACAGGGCCTCTCACTGGGGACATAACACCCTGTCCTCCTGGCTCTCCCTCAGCCCAAGTCCCCACGGCCCAGTCTCCCTTTTCGAGTGCCAGTGGCTGGGCCATCGGGTGGACTGGCCTGCCCCCCGGCTTTGAAGTGCTCTTGGGGCTCTTCAGGGCTAGGTTGAAAACGCTTTGGGGGCCTGCGCCTTCGGGCCGAACGCCCAGAGTCAGGGGAAGAGGGTGGAGCCATGAATGGTGCCATTGTCCCCATCGGCCCTGGCTGTTGCCCCAGGGAAGAGTCCCTAAGTTGTAGGTCAGTATGTTGTGAAGGACTGGGCACCTGGCAACCCAACCACTCCTGGATGGGAGGGCTATCTGCTCCCTCCAGAATGGAGGGCTGGCACCCCTCAGGGGGGGCATATGTAGCTGCCAATCGGTTCAGGATCATGTGGCTCAATTCCCTCTCCTGGCGCAGCAACTCTATGAGCTCTGCTGTGGCACGGTTTGCCTCATCCAAACTGTGTTTGGCTATCTGGAGCCCCCGCTCCTGCGCCGCTGCGGCCCGCTCCTGTGCCGCTGCGGCCCGCTCCTGCGCCTGGACCAGCCTGTCCATTTCCCCCTTCCTTTCTTCATGCTGAGCCCGCAGCTCCTGACGCCAGGAATCTGCGGTGCGTGCACGTCGGTCACAGAGCGAGACCAGTGACTGTAGCATTTCTAGTTTACAGCCCTGACGACGTCTCCTGACATCTCTCATGCGTTCAGCAGATGTTAGCCCGGCTGGCCTCGAGGTACCATCCACTTCCTCCTGAGCTGGCCTCCCATGCACAGACCCGGCATCTGAAGTCAGGGGAGAGACAGAGGCTTTGTATGACTTTGAAACTTTCAGTGATAACAATGTATTATAAAGACAGGCTTCCTGGACTCACTCATCACCTGCCTGGACTAATAGATGTCATCCAGCAAGCCATGGAGTTTTGATGCCAGGACACCCCCCTCTCCTCCCACTGGGCCAGCGCCCCAGATGGAGAGGAGCAATCTGCTTTGACAGCATCCCAGGGAAGACCAGTTTGCCATATATGAGAATCCACTTCCATAGAGCTCTGAAGTGCTCACACCCCAGGATGAATTTATGATTTTCAGGGATCCGGGTTTCCCGTTTCCCACAGAAAAATGGAGTAAATGGCAGATTTTGCCTTTTACTAGGGGCAAACGTGCATTTCTCATTTTACCAGAAAAACCCATGGACTTTGCTGTTTAGCAATCAGCAACCTGCAGGCTGGCAGAGTTCCAGCCTGCAGGGAGCTGGAAGGGAGCAGGAGGAAGGTGGAAAGACAAGGGGCACCACGTGCATAGACATGCACATGGCCCCATGGAGCCTGAAGAGCAGCTCCAGCAGGTAAGTGTTGGGGGGAGAGGGGGATTGAGGCCCCCGTAGGGAGGGAGGGAGCTGGGCAGGGCTGGGGCTGCTGTCAGCCAGGTGGGACTTGGGGCCTGCACCTGCCCTGGGTACCGATCTGGGGGGCGCGGGTCTCTGATCAATGCTGAACACATATTTCACTTTGGTGTCTGTCCTGTTTCATAGTACGTGGGCAAGGGGAACAATTCACCCACCTCACCTACACCTGCGCCCCAACCAGATGAGACACTGGTGTGACCACGGGGTTGGCCGGGATCAGCTGCAGCTGCCACCATTTGTCCGTTCCTCCCTTCCCTTCCCCTTCTCCCCTGGCTCACCCCATGTACTAACCCTGCACCCCGGGTCCTCCTGGCTGTGTGGAGCTGTGGCTAGTCGTGCCCTCCAGGGCTGATGGGTGTCCTTCCTCTGGGCCCGAGTCATCAGGACAAGGGTGAGGAAGGCTGGTGGTGGGTTGCTCAGGCCGTGGCCCCTGTGTAAGGAACACTGTACTGGGGGCTGTGTGCTTGGCCACAGTCTGTTGGGTTGAAGTCAGGTTTGGTGTTGGCTCCTGTGAGGTGGAGGGCACCTCTGGGGAATCCAGGTCCTGCATCTTGATGTCCGTGTCATCAGAGCTCGCTTCCCCTTCCTGCGTGGTACGCTCTGTGGTCTTACTCAAGGGCAAGAAAATGTCCTGAGAGCAGATTTCCAGCTTCAGCTGGACCTCCGCTCCCATACTCTGAGACGAAGTGGGGACCAGCAGCAGTGTGCTTGTCTCCTTGGGGGCTGGCACCAGCAGCTGTGTTCTTCCACTAGAGCCCCTGAGAACTCCTTCCTGGCCATCTGTTTCTCTTGCTATCACAGGGCGTGTCACCAACTCCTCCTCATCTGGAGGGGTCCCTGGCTCCAAATCCTCCTGCCCTGCTGTGGTACCATAAGCGTGTGGGATTTCAACAGCCCTGTCCTTGGCAAGGATGCGGGAAAGCTCATCATAAAAGGGCATGGTGGGCCTTCGGGCCCCGGAATGCTGGCTGGCATCGTGTGCTTTGCTAAACTTGCTCTTCATCACCTTCGTCTTTGCACGACATTGCATCCAGTCCCTGTTGTGGCCACGGGCCTGCATCTGCTGGGCAATGCATGTAAAGATGTCCCTGTTGCGGTGCCTTTTCTGTAGCTGGTGTTGGATCTTTTTGTCACCCCAGATGGCGATGAGATCCCTCACTTCCCCATACTCCCAGTTGTGACCACGGGTTTGGCTGCTGGAGGATGAGGGAGCTGGGCCATCCATGGTCTGTAACGTAGCTCGTGTGTTCTCTACAACACCGGACAGATGAGGATCTGGCTGGTAGGGTAGAAGAGTACCTGGGAGTCAGCAGTAATGCCTGGACCCCTCATTGCATGCCAGGAAGGATTACTGAAAGTACCGTGGTACTAGCAAAGGTGTGGGTCCTGGCATGTGTCTGCTCCTCTGATAGCAGCTGTGTGAGGCCACTGTCTAGATCAGGGTCTCAAATGGTCAGGACATCCCCATGGCCTCTAACCCTGGAAGGGGCTCCCAGCAATTACCCTTTCATTGTGAAAATGATCCTTTGATTGTGAAATATCCTACCCCACAGGGAATGCCCATTGTCCTCTGTCTGCCATAGCCTCTATCCGTCTGTCTCACAGCAGGGGATGATGGCTAGTGAAGGCCCATCATCTTTTATCTGCACCAGATGGGCGCACCCTGCCTGCCTCACAACAGGGACTGATGGAAATCCCAAGGGGCAGCGATTGGCAAGTGGGGGGCCTAGCTAGGTTCCCTGCCTTAGGGAGAGTCCCCTGAGCCCACTGGCACTGGGGGTGCAGAAGTCCCCAGAGCTCTCCCACCTGCACTAACCACCGGCCGGCTGGCTGGCTGCCTGCATCAGTGTGGGAAGACGTGGGAAGGAGGGTGATGGAGCCAGCGATCAGGGCATGGGGGGGGGCCCTGGCCAGGTCCTACCCCTAGGGAAGGGTCCCTAAGCCCACTGGCACTGGGTCTAGGGGCATGCAAAACCTGCCCAGAGCCCCACCACCTGCAGTGCAGCAATCAGGATAGGGGAGGTGCTGGCCAGTTTCCCCCCCAACTACAGAGACGGTCCCTAGTGCCTGATGGGTGCAGCCCCCAAAAGCCACCCCCCTTCCCCCTCCAGCATGGAGGAATTCTGCATGGGCGGGGGAGGAAGCATGGTGGTACAGCCAGCCAGCTCCCAGTAGTGCGGCAACTGAGGGGCTGGCATGCTATTCAAAAGCAGACCTGAGCCCCACAGCCAGCCGGACTGGGGCTAGCACCCACCCAGATAGTAGCAGGGGTAGCTAGGCCAGGCCCATGTGGTGGCACTGGGGTTGGCACTGCAATAACCAGCCAACCCACCACTGCTACAGCATCCCTGGGTGGGGGGACAGCTGGGCAGTAACTGGGTGTTGCGGGGGGCTCTCTCCTGGAACTCCCAGTCTTAAAATGCTCTCCTGAAACACCCCTTAGAGGAAGCTGAGGCAGTGCTTCCAGAGGCAGGGAGTGCTGGACCCACAAGCGCTGAGACCAGCACTTCCAGTCCCAGCCTCTCAGGCTATCTGTACATGGCAGTGAGCTCCTGCTTCCCCTCAGGTCTTCCCTGTTGGCTCAGTTCGGATGCAGCCACTCTTGCTTGTGGCTCTTGAGATCTCTCAATTCCTCTGGCTTTTCCCCACACCCCCAACTCTTCCAGGACTTTGCCCTGGCTCCACGCTCACACCCCACTGCAGCATGTACCTTGCTCACAGCGACGTTCTCTCTCTGCTGTGGGCACCAGCTCTGCTTCTCATGAACTTGGCCCAGGACAGGTGTTGGGAGTCCCCTCTCCCCAGATCTTCCCAGGGATGGCCTCAGCAGCTGCAGGTTTCCAGGCCCTTCCTCAGGAGGCTGCTCTTCAGCTGTACTCAGGGTCCATCCACCTGCTGGGAGTGAAAGAGTATTCAGAGGTTGTAGGCCTCACTGGAATTTAGATGAACATTTAGGATGCTTGTACAAGTGATGAGGTGCACTAATACACATGATGAAAATTGCCCTTTTGTGTGGTTTAATGGCATCATACTTCACACGCATGCAAGTTTTTGGCAATATAAATGAGTTTGTGTTTCATAGCTTCATCGATTCATAGATTGTTAAGGGCTGGAAGGGACCTTGTAAATCATTGGGTCCAGTCCCCCTGCACTAGGCTAAATGAGTTTGTGCTGTCATAAACTACTCCCCATCCCAATGTAGTTTAGTTTGCGATGACGCAACTTGGAACAGTGGAGCCATTAATCTGTCATGTGTACATGGGAATTCGCTGAATGACATGTGGTGAGCCCCTTTGTCTATTGGGTATCGCTACAATTTTTGTGTAGTAACCCCCTTGTCCGCCAAGCGTCACTACAATTTGCAGGTATTTGTGTGTAATGAATGTTTTTTAGGACACCCTTGGCAGATGAGGGGGAAGCCCTGGTGAACGCCGCTGACTGGTGCCAAAACTTGCAACAACCGCAGAGCATAGCTCTTGTGTGCTCAGCAAAAATCCCCAGACTTTGCTTGGCAACAGCCATGAGGAACCCCTGCTCCTCTCCACTCTGCACCTCTAAAACATCCCTTTTTGGTTGGCTGTGGTGTAATTGTCCCATCACCATTAACTTGCTAGCCAGTTTTACGTAAACCGGACAAGCGGAGTTCTGTGAGCTCGTGTGAGCATTAAGCGTGCACGCTTTATGAACACCAGGTGAGTTCTGTCACCATTCATTCCCTCACAGGCTATGTCTCAACTGCTCAACAGTTCAGACCGCGTCCTGCTGAGAATGGGGTCACTGGGTAGCCTGCTGTTATGCAATGCCCCAACAGGAAGCCTGTGGGTGCCCATTGAGGGCCTAACTCTCAGTACGTGGCTCATTGGGTAGCTTACGACTGTGCCATGGCATACACAAAGCTAAAAGACCTAGCAGAGCTAAAAGACATCCAGAACAAATATGTACATAAGATACAAAGTTGCCACTGGTGCAGACCCTGCCTGGCGCCAGCATGTTTGACGTCCAAACTTTGCCCAAACACTACAGGGTAGGAGGGGGGTGAACTTCCCTTGGTTCTGTCTCCTCAGGACTTATAAATTGAGGCCACAGCTCCCCGGGGCACCCCTCATTGATCCAAGATGTCTGACATCTGGGGGAGAATGGAGCAGGCCAGGGTGCATAGGTCTAGGTCCAATTGGTGCTGGGAAACCCTGAAGTTGTGTGCCAATTCATCTGCAGCCAAAGAGCCAACTGGCACATCTATCTTGATGTTGCCAGGAGAATGGGCAAGTGGGGGCACAACAGAACAGCAGTCCAGTGCCATGTCAAGGCAAAGGTGCTGTGGGCTGCTTTCTGCAGCGATGTTGCCAGAGCACAGCAGCGTGGCCCATTACAGAGGTACTAGATCGCCATGAAGGCACAGGGGCAGAGGCCTCTGAGGCATTCCTACCGGTGGATACATTGCTAGCCATTGCTGCAACTTGTAGGGGCTCCAGTGGAGAAGATAGCAGCAGGGTCCTGCTCATGTCACCTGCGGCTTCTGAGGAGGAGGATAGCCCATGGAGCTCAACCTTCACACCTAGTATGTGAAGCCCTGGGGACCCTTTAAATCACCGGTCACCTGAACTGACAGCTGCAATTAGGCTGGGCTGTGAGGTGAAGGGGGAAAGAGGGAAGTGTAGGACAGTGCTTTAGAGACCCCTGGAGTTAGTGGGCAGTGCAATGGGGTACAGGGCAGTGCACAGCAGGGAGGCACATCAGTAGCCAAAGTGGGTGAGTGCTTGTTTGCAGCCAGTCAGGGCTTGCTGCCACCCATGGCTAGGCACCCCTTCTTGGTTATTTTGATCCAACTGCTTCCTATCAGCTCACAAGATTTGCTGAGTGTGTCTTTTTAGAGCATCAATTGTCCTTAATTCACCCAATTTTCTGCATTTCTTGATTTTCAGCTCTGCTTGCAATGCTGTCACAGAGGACATGCAGGCTAATGAGGCAGGCTACCACTGATGCACATGTGGACAAGATTGCAAATGCCCTTATGGACTGCAAGCATTGGCTGCACGAGAAGGTGAGGTAGATCCGTCTGGCTACAGGCAGATTTATGGTCATCCAACACAGTAGGAACCACACCGAATACAGAAGGCTTTCCCAGACCCAGAAGGACCCACAAATATTGACCAGGCTGCTTGCAAGAATTCTATGCCTGCTGGTCATTGGCCTTGCTCCTGCCTGGGAGCAGCACAGGCCAGTGCAGATTCACGCTCCACCAGTTTGCAGTCAAGCTCAGAAAGTCCACCTTGGAGCCAAGGTCTTTTAGTTAGAAATGATTATTGCTGAGGTTGATTTTTTTTCAGAACTCATTCATCATTACAGTAGTAAAAACACAGTCCCCTGTTGTAGTAATTATGCACCATTATCTTATAAAAACCTGTTCTGTGGTTTGTTTAATTATGGTTAATATTTGGTTTGCAAACAAAGGTTTCTATTTGCTTTGTTTGATTCTTCACTTCATTTTCCCTGTGGTCAAGAGGGGAAGTGTTGAAGGGTGGGGGGAGGTGATTTGCTGGCATGTAGTGGCAATTAACACTCAGTCAAGTCTCCCTGCCTGGTTTTGAAGTTGTTTTGTTCTTAAATACTGCCAATCATCCGGTTGAACTCCTGACCCCTAAAAAGCTGGATGCACTCAAAGGAAATATATGCACTCTGCAGCACCCACCCAATTAGTGCTTCCCGCATTAACAAAATTCTGGGCCAGCCCACCACAATCCAGCCTTGGTTTGACTGCTGTGCTTTCTCTGGTCACAATAATAAAAGCACAGAGCTTGAAAGCCTCCACCCCTGCCAAAGCTCCCCGCTTAGGTGGGGTGGCCAGGGACCACTAGGAAGCTGCATGAACTCAGAGGAAGTATTAGGGGCGCTGTGCAGTAGTCCCGATTACTGCTCACCTCCATACCCCACTGTACCCACATACTGGACAAACACCATCCCCTTAGCCCAGAAGTGGACGTGCCCTCTTTTATTACTGCAATGTGTCTAAAACAAGGCTGGCTTTCTTTAGTTTGGCTTACCACCCCCTGCCCCACACACACAACCCACACCTCTACAACCCTTCCCATGACAGCAGACAGACACAGGCGAAAATTCATTTTAATTTCACCAAAGCATTTATTTTGTCAGTAACCAAAGCAAAACTGAAATAATGCAGGAACAAAATGCCCACTCCCCAATTTCCTACAGAAGCAACAGCACAGCACTAACAACTAAAAACCCATCACCTGTCATTGGCTCTTCTTCCCCCCCATGCTTCCTCTGTCTCACCCTCCCCTTTGTCACTAAAGCGCTGTGGCACTCTCTTCGGCCTACTAGAGTAGGGGTGCCCCTCGCTCGCAGGCACAGTGGCTGTCGCTGAGGTTGTCGCCATGGGGGGCTGATCACAGATAGAAGTCTCTATGCGGGTCAGCTCATGGATAGGGGCACACACAGTGGATGTTGCATGGGTGGTCTCAGGGGAGGGAAGCTCATGAACGGGGGCTGGGGTCATGCGTCTAAGGAGCTCCCATCTAAATTTGATCTCCATTCTCCGACTCCGGGTGATATTCTGACAGCACTTATGGGCCAGGTCAAGGAATTTTTTTGTGCTGGCCATGATGTCCCGGTGAGCTGCTGCCTCTCGTTCTTCAACCTTTCTATACACTTCCCGGAGTTCATTCCACCATTCATCTGCAGACCGTACTCGTGATTCTGAAGCCACCACCAAAGCCTCCATCATGCTTTCTCTTGACTGTCATTGCCTGTGGCGGTGATCATGTATTCATTCAGCTCCAGTCTGTGCTGGTGGCCGTGCTTCGGGTGCACGTCCCCGCCTTCCAGCGGATGTGATAGCTGGTAACAGGAATGGGAGAAAAAAAAGGTGTTCATGGTCAAAGATCTTGCCCCCACTTCCTGTAGCGGACAGATTATTGGCGATCACCATACAGCATCCCTGCCGCTTGGTGAATTAATGCAGCCACCCTCAAAGGATGATTATGCAGGAACCCAGATGTCTCCCCAGTCCACTAAGGAGTTCATTGTACATCTCTCACCACCACAAATTCCTGCCACTAAATGAATTAATGCTTCCCTCCCCCACAAGCAATTTTAAGAGAGGGCATGGCAGGTCCACCCCAATGTAGGCAAAACACAGTGCAGGGACCTCACACCCACATTTCTTCCCTGGCTTCTATGGGGTTGAGGGTGTTTGCTGGGGTGATACTTTAGGGTGGGTCTATTCATTTTTCCTCTTAGCGCTATTATCTGCAGCCCTGAGCAGATCATAGGTTTCTGGAGTTATCGGACACCCCAAGTTTTTTAGAGGAGGGGTGGTTACAGGAACCTGAGGTATGTAGGAACTGACATGTAAAGAGCAGGGCTGTTATAGTGCTAATGATGCTATTCAACAGCCCTACCTATTCAACGCCCATTGCGCAAGCAGGTGGTGTTCTGAGCGAAACAGTAACTGCTGTGTCCTGCATAACAACATGGCTTCGGTGAATCCTGATGCAATCTGCGAAGAGAACCAGATGCCTTTGGATGCCCTGGAGGTCTCCAACTGGAGAATGGAGGCACTTGATAATGCAGAGATACTGCTACTGAACGCAATGCAGGCTATGATGGACCTTCTACAAAGGTGCCAACGCAGGTCAGCAGCTTCTCAGGCCTTGTTATACCAGTCAACGGGCTGTGAGCTGAAATCCGAGGACTGAGAGAAAGCCGTGGATCTCAAGGTTGACAGGGTTCTGTGGATCAACCTACAGAGCAACAATCACAAGGTCTGGGCTCACACGAGCAGCTCTGGTGGGAGTGCATCATATTGTCGACTTGAGATGATCAGTAGTGGCTTGAGAGCTTCCGCATGACCAGGGGCACATTTATGCACAGTCTTG